GCAGTAATTCAGCTGAGACCCATTCCAGATGAGGACTCAGAGGCCTCCAGTCTGAGGAGACAAGACCAGCTGAGGATCCGGCGAGGTGAGATAGCTGTGGCTTGTTCTGTCTCTCTGATCTACCAGCATGGACCCCAATAACTCGCCTCAGGTTTGATTTTGTTAATAAGAACTTTTAAGATTCCTGCTACAAAAAAAAAATCAAGGCTCCCGAACTTAGTTAGTGGTGATGTTGGGCTTTGAGCATGCTCTGGCTGTCTCTGAAGCCTGGCCTTGTCTCCTGAGGAAGTCTAGGGAGAAGGCCCTCTGCTCTGGAGTGTCTGTGTACTATGAACAGGAAATCTGGGAGGGCTTCAGAAGGGAACGTGCATGGTAAACTCAAGCAGGCATTTCTAAAGCGGGGCAAGTGGCCCCAGCCACCAGTGGAAGGCTGTGTGAGCATTCTTTGTGCTGGAGTTGATAGGAGCGCATCGACCACCCACTATGCACCAGGCACTGCTGGTCCCAGGGGCACCTTCCTGGGCTTGACACACAGCTAGCTGGCCACCGGCTGGGCTCTGGCCCTGGTCTCTGGGGTCCAGGGCTCATGTCCTCATCTGGAATTCAGAACAATGCGATGAAGAGTCCAGCTTTCCAAGACACGTAGTTATGAAAATACAAGAACACAGCTCTCCCAAGCAGCTCCACTCCGGTGAACTCAGTGGACCTGGGCTGGCGCAAACAGCCCTGCATTCTTACCCTAGCCAGCGTCCATGCAGAAGTCCCCTGTGCCCGCAGATGAAAGCATCCCCATCCCGGCTTAATTCCGGATGAGTATCCTCCCTCCAAATTATGAGAGGAAATTCAATATTATTTTAGGACTTGCCTTTGCATAATAGCTGAGGAGAGCAGAGAACAATCCAGGGCTTATGTCAAATACAAACACGCTGTTCCCTCGGCTGACAGCCCCAATTCTGCCCAGGAAGGGAGCTGGGCATCAAGTAGCTGTACCTTTCTGGATAGATCAAGAATAGATCATAGCCATGGGAATGCATGGTGGGAGGAGCAAGGGATACACAAAAAAACCCAGCACGTGATGGACAGTGTTAGGGATCCTCCTGGACTTGGACAGGGCCCTGACCCTGAGTATAGGATTTGCCTGCTCTGAGGAAGGCAGAGCTGGTCTATGCAGTCCTATTTTCTTGAGCACCTAGCTAAGTCTTTGCTACAAGCAGCCTGGAAGGAGGTGTGGTTACAGGTGTAGATCTAGAGGACTTGGTGGTAGAGGGAGGGCATGGCTGTGAACATGGTCTTGGAAAAAGAGGTGGCCTCTACTGTGGCTCTGTGGTTCCTTGTTCTCAGAAGGGGGTCCGAGCAGTGGTCTCTGCAGGTGGAGTAGCTGGCTTCTGGGCAGGGTGTGGCACTGTGAATCCTCCTGGACCCTCAAACTAGAGATTTCCTCTGGGCCCAACTAAAAATCAACCCTTCCTTCCAGGTAAGCAAGACATTCAACACAGGCATCCCTCTGCCCTGTGTGCATCACTGTGGGCCAGCCTGGCATGCACATAATGCAAGCGACATTTGAGTTCACCTTGCTTCTTCCTGGAGCTCCTTGGCATACTTTGGTTTGCAGGATGGAGACAGCACAGGAGGACAAGGGTCATCTGCCACCATTTCTGCCTAGCAGGAGGCAGCCAAGCCATGTGGGGACAACGTGGAATTGAAGTCATTCCATAGCCCTCTGCTGGGTGATCCTGGGCAATTCACTTTGCCTTTCTGAGCCCAGAAACCTCTGGAGATGACGCTAGCATAATATCAAGTCAAGTTCACAGAACAGCTAGGCCAGCAGTGGCAGAACACGCCTTTCAACCCCAGTCAGTACTCAGGAGGCAGATCTCTGAGTTCGAGGCCAGCCTGTTCTACAGAGCAAGTTCCAGGACAGCCAGGGCTACAGAGAGAGACCCTGTCTCTAAAAACAAACAAACAAACAAAAACAAATTCACAGGACAGTCCTCACAGCCATTCCGGGGTGGTACTGTTCCCACCACCCTGATTCTCCGATGACGAAGCAGGCTCACTCTTGCTGCGCTGAGTAGACAGACATGCACCAAGAGGTGAGAAAGCTTGGTCACGGGGTCCAAGAGCCATAGCGAAGGAAGGGCAAGCTGCTTGCATTCGTTCCTTTTCTCATTACTGTGGAAAAATTACTTGGACAGAGCAACTTAGGGGAGAAAGGGTCTCTTTGGGCTCACAGTTTGAGGGACCATCAGTCACGGTGGGACTCGATGACAAGATCTTGAGGTAGCTGGTCACGTTGCATCTGCAGTCAGGAAGGAAGCCGAGAGAGATGGACGCTGGTGCTCAGCTCATGTTCTCCTTTTTACTCAGTCCAGGAGCTCAGCCCAGGGATGGTTCTGCCTTTCCCTCCCCCAGGTAACCCAGCTTAGAACCTCCCTCACAGACATGCCCAGAGGTTTGTCTCCTAGGCAATTCTAGATCCTGTCAGGATTAGCCATCACACTGTTCCATCATGTGTCGAAGTGGCATCTGTCTGCCCCTGCCATCCAGGGTCCTGGCAGGAGCCAGCCTGGGCAGTATGGCTTTGACCATGTGAGGCCTAAGACAAGCCTGTTGCTTTAATTGGCATCGTTTTCCTGTTTCAGAAGCACTGTGCTCTCCACAAAGGTTAGAAACTACAGCAGAGCCCAGGCAGGAGAAGTTCACAGTCATCCATTCTGTAACCCGGAAGCTCTTGCCCTCAGGTGATCTGCTATGGTGTTCCCATCCCTCCTAGGAGTAAATTTTAGTCTTCATGTTGCCTTTCCATAAAATTAGTGCAGGATTGGGGCACAGTGCAGTAGTTGGACACTTGCTGGTGAGTAGGATCCCTGGGTTCCATTCCAGTGTAGGAAAAAAAAATGTAGACACCTTTTGTAATAGCTTTTTACTCGCTATTTACTGGGGGTGGGGGTGGGTGGGAAGCCTGGCCTTCATGCTGTTTTCTGGCCCAGCCTGTATGTTCATGCCACTGTTCTATGGAAGGACTCCTGTCCTCAGCCTCTAACTCTGACCTGGTGTCATAGATAGTTTAGTGGCTGGTCCCCCTCATCACAAAGCTCTATCATCCTCAAAGTGAGTTCAGGAAATGGAGCCACTGGCTCTGAGTGTTCTGGAACATGTGAGGTGTGAATGTTTGCTCTCTAGCCTTAACCAGCCTTGTGGACCTACAGGTGATGAGTCTTCAGTAGTCTACTAAAGAAAATAATGTACTGTCATTCAACTCCTAAAAGGAGGTGGATGTCCATGGTGCTGTGGGCTCTGGCTTTCCTCACTCATGTCCCCTGTCGGTACTGACTAGCTTCCTTCAGGACTGAGGTGTGTGAGGCCCCGGAACTTCTGTGACAGATCCCTGCACACTAGATTAGTGACATCAACAGGCATGGATCCTCCCTTGGTCTCGAGAGAGGGTTGGGGTCAAGAGTAAGATGTGCTCAGTTTCTCTGCTTTGTTTCATGGTCCTTCGTGTGACCCAATGTGACAACAGTCACCTGAAGAGGACCAAGTCTTACCCAAACCAAAGTGGACAGCTCCACAGGACATACCAGGGCTGCTGCTGACCTCCTGGCGCCCTCCTTCCATCATGGAGAGCCAGTGGCTTGCTCAGGGTCACACCTTACAAAGCCTTAGCCCCAAGCAAGGTATCATAACTCAGGCCTACCCCTGAACTCGGGCCTTCTGCCGATTTTTGTGCCGTCAGACCCAGAGACTGACAACCCACAGAAGGAGGCACCCACTCTGCAAGTCAGTCTTTCTGATGCCCCTGGTTCCACGGGACCCACTGCCCAAAGCTACAGAAGCCGTCCCTGGGCACAGCCAATGGTGCCTTCCCTAAACAGCCTCCTTCCTGCATGCGGCCCCCTGCAGCTCCTGCCATGCATGTCTGCACAGTGAAGTATTCAGTCTCCTGTTTAAATTAAATGAAACCCCCAAACCATTGCCTGGGGCTGGGGCCAGCTCAGCTTAACACCCCTTAAGTCCAGCCCCAAGAGGCCCTTATGACAGAAGAGGACCCTGGACTTTGTGGGGTACCTGGACACTCCTCATGGCTTCACTAGTGCTTTAGTGGGGCCAGCTAACTCAATATTCAAGCTGCATGCTCCTCTTTTAGCCCGAGAGTCAGGCCAGGAGCAGGTGTGTCCCCTGAAGATAGGCCCCGCCATACCTCACAGACCCCCTGGCACACAGCCTGAGAATATCCCTGGCAGGGACTATAATGTGTGCCCTTGAGTTACCTGCTCTGAAGACATCGCTGACCCTCTGTGCCCAAACGCAGTGTGTTCTTATTCTCTGTGGGACAACAACGTGTGTGCTGTGCTTGCATCATACAAGGTGTTTTGGGCTCAGTGGCCCTGTGCAGCCCTGAGAGAAATGTCCTCTCTGGGTCCCCACTTAACAGCTCACCATATCCAGACTTCAAGAAGACAAGGGAGCTGGCCCAAGACCCTCAGTAGGTCCCAGCAGCAAGACTGTGACCAGTCTTGACCCCACCCAGAGCCACTGTGATGCCTGAGCTCCCTCACAGGTGACTAATGTCTTCCCTCCCAGCAGAGCCTGACTCTCCATTCCCTGAATTCACTCCCACAATGTGACACCAGTAAATGGGGCACAAGCAGCAAAACTCCAGAAACTTGGCTGGCAGGTGTTTGCCCCCCCATGCTGAGAACCTGTAATCCCCACTGGCTGAGCAAGCCAGCTAACTGCTGGATGAATGAAGCGTGGGGCCCAGCAACATCTGTACCCAACTGATGAAAGACAGCCATGGACAACCCAGGCCCTCCCAGATGGCACCAGTCAGCCAAGCTAACCCACACCAGTGAACTGTTGGTGCCCTGTGGATCTTCAGTGCCAATATTTTAGCCATTTGTTGTGGGATTGGTTGTTATGCAGCAAAGACTAACCGCTACAGCATCAGATACAGATATTGCTTCTTCTCTGTCTTGAGACTGAGCTGCTTAGTCTTCTCCTGAGGCAGGAATACAAGACAGGGCTTAATAGGTGCCATTCTTCAGGGAAGGGAAGTCTGAGACACAGACTCACCCTAGGATCCTCACACAGCCAAGTGCCAACCCCCTCACCTGTGTAGACCATGACAGTGGACAATGAGCTTGGTGCACGTCCACAAACCTCTGACAGAAGCCCTGCAGGTCTGATCATCAGTGTGAGGAGCCCTGCAGGGGAGGTGGTCTTCTGGGTCCCACACTATGCTCTGCAGAGGCAGAACTCAAGCCTAGGTCTCCCACAAGTAAGTTAAAGCACCATGCTGCCAACAAAACATGTTGACACTTGTTCTCTGAACGCATGTGGCTTGTCCTTCCTGGTCCAGTTCTTTCTCAGTGACATCACTAGTGACTGAACACTGCTTGTTCTTTGTTCTCCGTTTGCAATGCTCAATTTGGGATCCTGGAAGTCTCGGTGCATTGCTCTGTGACATTTTCGTCACTACTATCCCCTTCACTTTTGTCCTCCTCATGCCATCCTCAACCCCATCATCCTTACATCACCACCTTCAGCAACATCATCACCACCAGCAGCGCATCACCATCACTGCCAGCATCATTACATCATCACTCTCATCATCAGTGTCATCACCACCGCCATTATCCTTACCCTAACCGCTACCATCATCAGCAACACTGTCATCACTACCGCCACCGTCATCACCACCATACCCCCACTGTCAATCACGGCAGCATCACTGTGATCCTGTTTACCATCATCCTCATCATCACCAGCAGTAACAGCATCATCACCCTCATCCCATCTCATAGTTACTATTACCATAATCAGTCACCATTGTCACCGTGATCCCAATCCTCATAGTCATCCCCATCACCACCATCATCATCACCACCATCATTACCATCATCATCACCACATCACTACTGTAACAAATCACCATCACCATCATCACCTCTCCATCAGTATCATCATTATCGTCACCATCATTCATTGTTACTACTATCAACATCATCATCCCCACCACCACCATTATCAACTTCACCATTATCTTCCCCACCCTTTATCACCCTCATCATATTGGGATGAAAACACTGTCCGATGGCTCTGTGCCAGGCACCTCTTCAGCACATTCTATTATTTCACTGAATCTTTTTTTTTTTTTTTTTTTTTTTTTTTTTTTTTTTTTTTGGTTTTTCGAGACAGGGTTTCTCTGCGTAGCTTTGCGCCTTTCCTGGAGCTCACTTGGTAGCCCAGGCTGGCCTTATTTCACTGAATCTTATGACTAGCCTTTAAGATGGTTTCCTATATGTTAGTTCTACTTTTCAAATGAAAACGTTGGAATTCCTGGGGGTGTGGGAGGGGAAATGCAACTTGTCCACGTTCCACAGCTACAGCAGGCAGGGTCTCCTTCCTCTCCGGCCACCACTGCAGACTCCCTTCAGGGGTGTCTCCTCTTGCAGTCAGACCATGCAAGCAGGCTGTGGGTAGTGAGATAAGCAAGGGCACAGGAGAGCCGGCAAATGGGAACAGAGTGTGGGATTTGCCATCAAGACAGGATGCTGGACTACCTCTATGGGGCAGACAGGGTGACGTGCAGATGGCAGTTTTGGACTTCTGACCTAAAGAGCACAGAAAGCCCTCTTCGGGGACTGAACTCTGCCTATGCCCCATGGCGTCTCGTCTTCCCTAGGCCTCAGTTTCTGTGTCTGTGATATGAAAAGCCTAGAGCAAGCTGTGTCCCCACGGCTTCTGGGCCTGGTCTCCTCATGACGTCACCCATGACGCGTCCACACTAGGTCAAGCACGGAGGACTTTCTGGAGGTGCAGGTTTCCTGAGAAGGTTCTAAAGGACAGACAGAGCTTCTAGTGTAAAGGTGAGAGCATTCCATGTCAGAGAGTGAGTGTGGTGTGATGGAGTGGAGGGATGGACCCTGTCTGTCGTGGATGGATAAAGCAGTGTTCAGGCCCAAGCCTCTGCAGTGGAGTAGACAGTAGGTCCCACCACCTGCGGTCCATCAGAGGAGGAGGGTGCACAGATAGCTTCAGGCCACAGCAGGAGGAGGTGACCCGTGTGGATCTTGAAGAGTAAGTCAGAGTTTTCCCAGCTAGCAGAGGTTGCAGGATGAAGGAATTTTCCAAGAAAGAAGAACATCAAATACAGAGTCATCGAGGAGTAAGGGACTGAGGAGCACTGGGATGACAGACAGCAGCTCATCCAGCTTGAGCTGGGGTGGCAGAAAGTGATCCCGAGACTGCTTTAAGGGCACGAGGCTGTAGCTGAGTATGAATCTTTATCTTTCCTATGGGGGCCAGGAAGCCACAGGGTACTTCTGCGAGGGGACATGGCACCTCAGTCTGTTTAGAAGGCTTGTCCATGGTGTCCATGAACAGTTATGCAAATGTCTGGTGACAGTGACCCCCATTAGCAATTAAAGCATGGCTAACGTGTTGACAGAATGGCACCCGTGGGGGCCAAGAGCTGCTGGGCACCTGGCTGCTCCAGCCTGAGGTGCACACCACTCAAATGACACCTGCAGTCACACCCTGACAGCACGGATGTAAGAATGACCTCACGCCCCGAGCCTGCGTCTGCCACAGTAACAGGGCTATGTGCACAGACAGGCCGTATGGTGAAGACAGGCTTGGCGTTGTAACGGGATCTGAAGTGTGGTAGGCGGTTGACATTAGTAGACTTCTTACTGATAGGAAAGTATAATTTGTGGCCAGTGTAGAAATGTGGGACAGTGGACGCAAAAACAAGTCACCTATAAAAGTCACCAAAGGATCTAGGGAGACGTCTCAGTCAGGGAAAGGCTGGACTGAGTAAGCTGAGGATGTGAATGTGGCTCTCTAGCACCCATGTAAAAAAAAAATGCTGGTACAGTCCAGGTCCTCTCAGTCTTGGGGCTTCAGAGACAAAAGAATTCCTGCAACTCACCAGCCAGACTATCTAGCTCAACTGGCAAGTCCCAGGTTCAGTGAAAAGCCTTGCCTAAAAATGAGATTGAAAGTGGTAGAGGACACACAGTGTCAACCTCTGGCCTCCACACACATACACCCATACAACATACACAGAAAGCCACCAAGACTAGTCAGAGTTATCCGTGAGAATCCATCATGGGCGGCTCTGAATTCTCAAAGCAGATTGCTCTTAGTCCCTGCAGAGATAGGGTTGGGGAAACTGAGGCAAGGGGAGGCACGACAGTGTTGAAACTTGAACCTGGAGTCTCTCTCAGGCTCGTGGCCCTTTGGTAGTGAGGTGGACAAGTTCCCAAGTCCAGGTCTGTGAAAGCCCTCCAGGGGCCATATTACACTGTTACCAGAGTGGAGGCCCACCAGGGGCCATATTACACCATTACCACAGTGGGGTCCATGCTTCCTACCCAAGGACTCAGCTTGTTCGTCGTAGGTTTCCTTCTACCGGTTTTTGTGTTTCTGTTCCTGTATTCACTCAACAAACACAAACTGTTCTACATGCCGGGCATGCTCAGGGCCCTGGAGTCACTGCCACTGGCTGGACTGGGGCCATCAGCCTTCACTGTCACACAGAAGGAAGTCTGCTGACTGCCCTCCTGCCCACGGAAAGTCAGAGGGGACCATTGTTCAGGCCACAGCAGCAGGTGGTAAAACGGAAGCGTGGTTTTTCTTTAGTGTCGCCAAAGGGAAGAGGCGCTGGCTTGAGTCTGGCTGGCCTGGGATGGTAAGTTATCTGGAGAAAGATCCCAGGAGCCTTGCCACATTTTTTTCTAAAAGAATGTTGGAAGTCTCCGTGGCCAGGTATGGAAAAGACAGCTTGGGCACACTGAGGCCATTCAGGGTGCTGACGCAGACCCAGGTGGCAGAGAGAAGGACGCTGCTGTTCACCACAGACCCTCAAAGGGCCGGTTGTCTGCACACTCAGTGGGCACCCTGCGGATGAACAAAAACACTCCTCACAGCGCCTTTTACACAGACCTTTCTTGCAAACCTTCCCTGGCACCCCGAGGGAGTGATGGACCAGGACATGCAGAGCCACAGAATTATAGAAAAATAAAGGCTTAAAGATTTAGACGGAGGACATCCAAGTCCCCTTGCAAGCCAGGTTGGGATGCAGAGAAAGGATGGAGGCCGGCCCCAGGCTGCTGTCCCTCTCCTCCATGCCCAAGGAACTGCCACTCCTTGGGCCCAGCCTGGTGCCTCAGCCTGGCCTCCCTCGGGTTGTGACTCATGAAAGGGCCCATTCATGCCCTGGCTGCTGGCCTGGGTTCCTGCAGCGGCTGCTCTCCACAGCCTCTGTTTTCTTTTCATTAGAACTCCCGTCCTGAAGGTCCGTGCTTGGCTGAGTCAGGGATGCTCCAGAGAGGATGTCTCGACAGAGCCACCCACAGGCCCCAGCACATCAACTGAATGGCAGATGGGGAAACTGAGGCCACGCTGCTCGGAGTGTAGGAGTGGTTTGGGCTTAAGCCACCAG